TGGCGCCGGATCTGCCGCTGTAGCTGATCCCATTGGCTGGAAACCATATGGAGGATATCCTTCAGACCTGGAGGGTGAGAGACACAAGGACAAAACTGAGAAAGTAACAGAGCAGAACGAGGGAGAGAGAGAAACTGACAAAGGAAACTACAACCAACAGGGTCACTGATCAATCAGCTGATCATTGTCCTGATGGTCTGATTGATCTTTTTATTCCCAGAATGTCAAACACCAGGGAAAGGTCCCACTGTGACTTTCCAGAGCCAAAGGTGGCGTCTTCACGTCTTAAGCTGGACAAACACTGTGCGACTCTTATTGATCGTGTACAACTCAGACTATACATCTCAATCGGCCCAAATCCACATCTTCACTGCTCACACAAATGCTCATTCTAATATTGAAACAAGATGGCTGCACCCACAAGGTTTATGTAACTAGTAGTTCCCCTGGTGCTGTCCGTCGTGATAGTGTACAGCGTGGTGCTGCACAGCTCGATTTGCCTCGTCCATAAATGTTATATAGACACATTATACACTTCCTGTGGCCTGGTTTCAGTTGATTCTGTCCACAAAATGCGATCTCTCATCTGTACTGTGTTGTCTTTGTGCTAGCACAGAAGCACTGAACTAACTTGGAACCGTGGACCTGCTCAGGCTGCAGACGGCTGACCACATTTCGGACATGCACGAAATGCATCCGATTGCTCGGGTGCTAGAATGTGGGTTGTTAATGTGATTAATCAGGTGCCAGGACTAAAATTCTAAAATGAGTCAGGAGCGACTGTATCAGGTCTAAAATCAGGTCTGTACAGATTCTTATTTTGATATTCAGATATTCAGTTTGTCCTCATGTCTGACAAAGAAAAGCATCAGCTCCTCACATTAAAGAAGGTGGAACCAGAACATGTCGGTGACTGTTGCTTCTAAATAGCTGAGGTTCATTTTCTACCAGTGAACTGACTCATGGCTGCAGCTCTAGGTCACTGAATGGCTTCATGAGGACGACACAGGGGGTCGGACACAGTGGGTTAGACACGGTGGGTCGGACACAGTGAGGGAATCTGGTTTGGAAGGACGAGGTTTCCTCCTCCAACAGAGGAGACCTGGCAAGGCTCTGGAGACTCGGCCCTGTTCAGTTCAGTGTTTGTCAGCTAAGTCGTGAAAGCTGTAATATAAACGTCAATGCATCTACAGTCTGATCCAGATTTTACAGGAGGTAAATAAAACCCGTTAGTGCAGTGACATCTCACTTGTGAATGTTCATTATCACTGTAAATTGAGAGCATTTCAAGTTTTAACTGAAATCTTCAACCGTCAAACAGACAAAGATTCCCTGACCTTAAGAAAGCAGCTGTCTTAAATCCAAACCACAATCTTTGCATAATGTTAACCATGTAGTTATTCAAACCAAGCTCTGCTCCGTATCCTCCCTCTCTGTTCTCTCAGTCTGCTTCTGTCTGGCTGCAAAGATTTGGGAAAATATAAAAATTATATTGAACGTTTATTTCCCTGCCAGCCAGTTTCTAGCCGCTGGCTTTTCTTTCTGCTTCTCTATCTCCCTCTCCACATCTCATTCTTTGTCTTTATTGCTCTCCGCCTCTCTTTCGGCAACATTCACGAGTTCTCCTCTCTGAAGGTCACTCTGTTAATCCAAATATTAATAATGAATGGAACAGAGTTGGAGCTCGGTTATAGCCACCTGTGTGTTTCAGTGTGTATCCACTCAATGTGTGTGTAGATGTGAATGAATATGAACGTGTGTCTGAATGTACCTGATTGGTGGCAGGTGATGACGGTGAGCAGTGCTCTGCCTTCCTCCATGATGCTCTCCTTCAGAGCGCTGTGGCTGTCCACATTCAGCTTGAAGCTCTGAAACGCACACGGATCATCATCAGTGACCAGGTTATTATCTTAAGGTTATTATCTCAGGCTGGATTCAGATGGATCGGGATGTGTTAGCATCTAAAGCTAATTTGTTTGTTTTGGCAGCATTAGCTTCGATGGCCACGTCTGTCCCACGTATTTGAAACACAAGAACATGTAGAAATTATTGGGAAAATGACATTTTTGGGCTCCAGTTAGCCTGATTGGTGGCTCTGTCAGTCTGACACAGACTAAACTGCCAAGACAGTGCAGTCACATTAGTAAACAGTGCTTTATAGTGTCAAGTTTAACAGCAGAATAAGGTTCAGATCTGTGGAGGTCAAAGGTCAGTGGTTACAACATCATGTGTACAGAGAGCAGTGACGTTAGAGAGGAATGATGGGAAAACACTGAGCTGGGAGATGAACACCCAAACATTCATTTTGGACAAAGCTGTGAGAAAACACATCAAATGAAACGATATTTCAATTAGTTTAAGAAAGGAAATGGCTCGAGCAAAGATTCAACGGAAGACTCTCCGCTCAGATCTCCTATGGAGAATGGATGCATGTATGGATGGATGATAAATGGACAGATGGATGGATGGAGGCAGGCGCAGGGCAGCCTGAGGCAGAGTTGGAAGACACTCGAGCCAGATCTCTGAACACAACTGCACCCTTTTCTGATGAAAGTGCTCAAAAGCCTCAACACCTACCCACCTCTGACATCCTGCTCTGGGAAATGCATACACATCTTTACGTTTATTTTACTCTGTCGTTTGCTGCATTGTAGCTCAGCCTTCAACACGACAAAAGATTTATCAACTTCATAAAAGATCTCTTAGAATTTCATTCTGTGTAGGATATAGAAACCACACAGATGTTTAGATGAGTAAAATTCAGGTTGCTCAGTTCTCTGTTTTAACAACTGCCTTTAGTGTTTCAGTTTATCTAGTACTGTTAATCTGTACCAGGTCAACCTGATCTGAACATCACATTCATACTTATTTATGCAAAAAACTAGGTACCTGGATGATGTTGTATGGAAGTCACCAAAAATGGGCAGAAACAAGACAAAATACTCGTAAAAGATGCTTTGGGTTTTATTTTCTATTTTTCTTTACCCACATCATTGATATCAGAGCAAAGCAAATAAAGACGTTACCTGACACATCATGGTATTTGAAACTGGATAAGACAGTTAAGTGCTCTAAAACCACTTAAGAAAAACTGTCCGAAGCAAAGGAGGAAGTAGTGATGTTTCAGAGCCGCAAAACCAAGCATCACTTCATGCACATGGTTTGTAAACTAACAATAACTGGGTGTGTACTAAAGCCTTCTGTCCCTCCATCTGCAGTGACGGGGAGTTGGCGACAGCATCAGTCAACACGTGACAAGGTCAGACAGCCACACCACCAATATTTATGGAGCAGGATACACACAGTAGAGATGGATGGGACGGAATGTTTTAACCCCTCACACACACAAACACCAACACACACTGAGGAACTGTGATTTCAGGTTACTGATTAATCTACCGGTTATTTGTTCCGTTAATTACTCAACCTATCTTAAAAGGTGGAAAAATGCCCCGTAATAATTTATGAGTCTAAGGTGTCGTCTTCTTATTACTTGTGTTGTGCGACGAACAGTCTGCTGGATGAACAACAGAAGGCTGAAGGCAGTAGTGTCGTGGGGGGGGGGGGTTCCATTTTCACCTGATTTATCAGACAATGTAAGCCCTTAGTTAATGCACCTTTAACTGATCGATCAATAGCTGCTAGTTTCAGAATTACTTTGATGTACAAAGTTCTGTTCACACCAAGCGGCAACGTGCGGCGCTGAGAAATGAAGCCAACGTGGAAGCACCAAAACCTGCAGTTCCTCAAGCAGCCACTAGAGGCTGGCTCCAAAACAGAGTCGGTCCCCATAGACCCCCGTGTTAAAATGTCCAACTTTGTAGCAGAAATAAACACATTTACATCCTGGTACAAATACGGTTTTGGTCTCTAAAGCCAATTTCTCCTTCCATGATGGTGGATTTTTTCATAACCCACCCATTTAAATTATACTGAGACTAAATGTTACACATAATTTGAACATACTGAAGGATAATCACCTTTACTGGCCAAGTATGTTACACACAAAAAATTTGTTTCCAGTACAGAACCGAAGCAGCCATCTGCGGCGCCACCTCAACTGATGACTCTAACCATCGGGGGCAACTTGGGGGTTCAGTGTCCTGCCCAAGGACACTTCGACGTGTGGACTGCAGGCACTGAGATTCAAACTTCAGACCATCCGGTTGGGAGATGACTGCTCTACCCACTGAAACACAGTCGCCCCCGTTTTATGAGAAGAACAGAACATTTTTGAAGCTGAGGATTTCAGTGTAAAAGAGAAGGTTGCCTACTGCACTAAGCACAGCAGCAAAGTGAACACCTGACAGTGTTGGTGCTAAAATCTTCTACTTCTTCTCAAGTGAAAGCCTCACTTCTAACAGCCAGCTCTAAAGAATGTGAGCAGACTGTGGTGACATGGTCCCTTACATGCGGGATTACACTTCATAGATAAACAATAATATATCACCTGACATCTCAAAAATATCACCAAGCATCAACTATATCTCTTCACAACACATTCACATATCAAATACAAGACGACTTCAATCGTTACTGCTCTGCAAACATCATAAATAAAATCTCACACCTGATTGAGTAATTTAACAGACTCGGCATCCGCTCGGCCCCACATAATTTCCAGATAAGCTGGTGAAATAACTCAGCTAATAAACATAAAGTACATCTATCAGCGCTACAGAAAACGCAGCGCGACTGTCTGCGTCTCTGGGATATTGCGAATGAATAAGGCTGTGCAGATTAGCTGGGCTATCGAAGAGCGATCGTATTTCAGCACCATATTCCACAAGCGATTCAGTTCAGTTTCCTCCGTTTAATATATGGAGAGCATAGAATCGATAAGAGTAGAACAGCCAGCCATCAATCACGCGATGATAAGGCATGCAGAGCAGCTCTGCCTTTATGCATGTCAGACAGCAGGCGGTAATAAGAGGCTCTGCATATGTATTTATGTCTGTGTGTGTGAGAGGTCGAAAGAGTGAGGGAGGAAGTGTGAGGAAGTGTGTGTGACAGAAAAAAAAGGCAACCATGGACAGTGTGTGTGTACATGCACTAACACTCACTCCAATGGGCAATTTAGAGTCGCCAGTCAACCTAAGCTGCATGTCTTTGGACTGTGGGAGGAAGCTGGAGAGAAGCCACGCAGGCAGAGAACATGCAGACTCCACACAGAAAGGCCCTGGGATCGAACTCAGAACCTTCTTGTTGTGAGGCGACAGCGCTAACCACTGTGCCATCTGCATGTGTTGTTGGAGGGGGGGGAGACTACAGAAAACTGTGGACTACAGAAATACCTAAAGGAAAATCTCATGACCCTTATTGAAAAGCAAAAAAAAAACAAACTTCATGAACCGTCTCCTCTAAGGGTGTGTTGTCTGTCAGAGTCAAGATCTCCTCCCAGAAAAACACAGAACCATTCATGTTGTTCTTGTCAATCAACAGGAAGTCAGCAAACTCAGCTGTTAGTTATTAATCACAGATAAACTGGGACTAGTTCCTGACTTAATGACTCGTGGTAGTTCACTTAAATGCATGATGAATATAGTCGGCACAGTTTCCCCTTGTTTTTACTAAGATGTCAAGGCTGCTGACAAACACAACAAGTAAAGTTCATATCTGGCTTCAACTATTTACTGCAGGAGTTTGTGTGTTTGGTTCTCCTAAAAGTTAACTTGTAACCGTCTTCCACAACTATATTTAGGTGCTTTCTGCTCTAACTTGGTGCCTGGTCGGGGATGTTGTCACATGACATTTGCCATCTGTCACTCCCCTCATTTCCTGTCAGGTCTCTACTGTGTTTCTCTAATGAGAACATAAACATGGCTGAGGAATAACTGCAGACCTCTGAGAAGGCAGAGCTTAGCTCTGCAGCAGCAAAACTGGAGGTAAAGGTGGTGGACGAACTCTCACTGGGAGCCGACGGATGAGATGCTAGGGAAGGGCGCAGTTACTGTACACAACATCCAGCACAGAAATTACCTTCCCGGCAAAAATGTTACTGATGTCATAATGGCCGCAAAATATCCTAAAAACGTTTAGCCTGGACAGTGTGACGTTTTCTTCAAGATACAACTTGTTTCAAAACACTTGGAGCTTTACACTGTACAGTGACATCAGAGCAGAGTATAGTGTAGGAAGACTGGCTAGTTAACGTACAGGTAACCAACCACCACTGGTGCTCCTGCTTGGGGTCAAGCCAAACAGTGAAGTGTCAGTAGCTGTTGTCGTTGGCCTAAAAGGTTATAACTACCTGACCTAATTAACACACATCCACTCACGGTGGGCTGAGCGACCTAGCGGCTTCAAAGCCTCAATGATCAGGGCTACCTGTTAGCATTAGCATGTTAGCCTGGAGGGTAGAACGGCATCAGAAGCCTAGCATACATCACTTAGCCTTTAGCATTAGCGAAGCGCTAAAAGGTGTGCAGCACTGACATTGTGGTGACCCTGAGATGGTGTCTTACTGAGCCCACCGCCACACACACACACACACACACACACAGAAGGCAGGTTGATGAGAACTGATCTGATCAAAGAGCATTGGTAATAATGGTGACCAAATTGTCTCCTTCAGACAGAGCCAAGAGAAATTATAGTGGTACCGTTGTATTCAATGTGTGTGTGTGTGTACATGTTGCTCTGTAATTGTGTGGACAAAGTTCGGTTTCATCAGTGTGAGGACATCCTGTCCTGGGCTCTGGCTGTGAGCGTCCTCACATCTATAGATGACCGAACATGTACGTGCGTTTCAGGCCTCTGCTGCCGTTTGCCTCACTCTATCTTCCTGCATACAGCTTTTATATTAAGCAATAAAGCACAATGCAGTTCTCTCTCTCTCCTTCTTTCCCTTTTCCCCTCTGTTCCTGTC